TATATATATATATATATATGAGAGGCTAATCAATTTCAAAACATAAATGTTCCTCAATGGAATTATAACATAGATCCTATACATAAATACATAATATAATAATCCCAAATTTGAAAGCATAAAAAAATGTTTGTCATCGGTCGATTAACATCTATGTATGTATGTAAAAGACTAATCAACTCCAAAACGTAAATGTTCCTCAATGGAACTATAATATATATCTTGTACATATATACATAATACAATAATCCTAAAACTGAAAGTACAAAAAAATCCTAGTTGTCAGTCAGGTGACATTTACAATCTAGCAACATTAGAGTAGCTTAAAAGATCAATAACACCATCAATAAGCATGGCTTTAAATTGATGCATCATCTCGCCTATTCCTGCTCTGCTCCCATATAAATATGATTATCATAGTTCAACCACAAAGAAACATGTAAGGATAAACTAGTATTCAAAATAATCAAAAGTATAGAAGAATAAGCAAAATATTGTGACTCCAACAACTCAACTATTCAGCATAACCACATCTCAACTTAGCATTCAACAACCTTTGTTAAAGCAACAACTTAACAACACATATCAACTTTGCAACTCAACATCATAACAACATAGCATTTGATCAACATAACACAATCAACAAATCATATGTACAACACAACAACTATATGTATTGTCACACATTTAACTAAAAGATCTTTTACAACATAGGTGAATAGTTTAAGTGTCTTGACTTTGTCGAACCAACTAACAATGCAATCTTTTTAGGTTAGCTAGATTAACGGCTAATTTGGATAAAAATCCACAACACAACATGGTTTTTGAGATTTTATCACTTAAACTAGGAAAGTCTAGTATTCATATCAGGGTAGAACAACTTGGATGCGAGTCTACTACAGCCTTAACATGCATAACTAAGATTAGCCCATCGACTATCCTCAAAATACTACGCCCCTTCCAGTAATTAGTTAGAAATTTTGGCTCTCAAACTTGTACCTTACTCTATTTTGGTCACTTTTGACACATTTGACTCGACATTGCCCCATATGAATTTATATTGGTCACTTTATACACTTGTGCTTGACTTGATGTGCCCATATAGATCAACATTTTGGCCACTTATAGATAGTGTGACTTGACCTAACTCCATACCACATTAACTAAGGTCTTAGAGGAGATTGAACACTTTACTTTGAAAATTAACTTCTCAAGAAGGATTTTCAATAACCGGCTTGTAGAACACCACAATGCCATATTCTCACAATGAGATATTCCACTTTTAAAATAATCTCTCCTTTAATTCTAAGTTAATTAATATAACTCGACATCGCTTAACTAGGGTTCGACACCATTAAGTTAGAGAGCTCTAAGGGCATCCACACTTGACGCTATCCAACCTACACTCAACATGACCATGTCAGAGAACCTTCTTCCAACTCATGCCTGAAGCCTTAAATCCTGTGCCCGAAACCAGTGAGATAGAGAGCCTCTAACTTGCATCCCGCCTGGCACCTTGAAGTTGTGCCCAATGTGACAATGATTTCAACACTTGGCTGAATCACAAATTTGTCCAATCCATCTAAAACTCAAAAGATTTCCAATATGCAATGTAAAACAACACATTCATTCACTTCAAACAACTCATTTTCATCAAAAAAATCAACATGCATTAAGAACATCATAACTCAAAAAATAAGAATTCCACCTCAATTATCCACACAACCACAACTTTTGGCAAGAGTCAAGCAATACACAACAATAATTCATGAAGAATTCAAGTTTTAGTTTTCTTTACCTTCGAATCAACTAAAAGATAATAAAAGGGAAGAAGAAGATCCTTCATGGAAACTCCACACCACGACACCACGAACTCAGATTCTCATCTTCGCAAGCCTTAAATCACTACTCAGGTATGCAAACTCACTTTGGGAAGGTTTTTAAAATTCTCTAATAAACTTAGAGAAGATGAAATTCACTCAGAATCTATAACTCTTCTCTTTAACTTCTTTCTAAACTTCCTAAAAAAATGAACTTATGAAATTTATCTCTAAAAAAATACCTTATGTACCTTCTCTTAATAGATCAAACTTGAACTTTGTTCAGAGAAATTCCTAAACGACTAAAACTCATAAATTTTTTTAAATTCCTAATGTTTCTAAACAATTAAAATATAAAATCACAACAACATATAATTTAATATAAAAAACAATAAATCACAAAAATCAATGTTACAACATCTACATTACACATATTAATATACTAGTTAAATATGATACCCATTTATTTTGTAACTTACATATTAAAATATTAATATTTAATAACCAAATGAAAGAGGAACGAGGTTAAAATATAAAATATTTTTTTATCCTAAAGTATATGTTGTGATTAGATACTCTAAAAAAAATCTAAATTAATTTCATTAACTTTGCAACGTAGAAGTATAATACATATCCAACATTAATTATAAATAAATATAACAGAGGGTGAAAGATTTGTGAAATTAATTATTCCTACGATCCTAGAAAAGTTAAAATTTTTTTTGGAGAGGTATAACCGAAACAATTCGGAGGTACAGTAATAAGTGTGCAATGTTAGGGTAGTAGTGACGGACACGTGTCACGAGAAGGTAACATCAAGAAGCAATATATATAGCGGCAACCTGCGCCTTCGTTCACACTGCTCCTAGGTTTATAACGTTAACTGCTGCTACTCACTCTGTTGCTGCTCCACGCCGCCAACTCCGCCACCATCCCAATCTCATTTCACTCTCTCGGTACTCTCTCTCTCCCTCTCTTCCACTCTTCACACTCTCTGCCAACACATGCACGTCAACTTCACCACTTCACCGCACATTTCACACCTTCCTAGTTTTCTTCGCTTCATTTTGCTGTTGCGGTGCTCTACTTGTGCTGCCACTCAACGTGTTTATTCTGTGTTGGTGTTTGCGTTTTTGTGAGTCTTTGTATGTTGCAGTTCGCTAGGCTTTCTTTGGTTTCTTCTAATTCGTTTGCATTGAGTTGATTATGCGGCTGTGTGCGATGAATGATGTTTGAGGTTTAGGTGTTGGCATGGAATGCTGAAATTTGTGGTGTATTGTTTGTGCCATTGGAGTTTGGAATACTTTATATCCGTGATCGTTTTGCAATGTTTTTGTTGTAACATGTAAGTAACTACGAATAGTTTTTTTTGCGGAGTCGATAAATTTCGAGTTTCAAATGGAATTTGAAATTGACGTAATGGTGTTTTTCTTTTTTATTTGAATATAAGGTATTTTAGGAGAATTTATGATTTGAAATGTGGGAGTAATTAACTTATTTTTGTTCAGAAAGATTGTATATGTTTTATCATTTAAAGTAAATCTAATATTTTGAATATGAAATTTAAATTGAATTTGATTTTTTTTTGTTAATTATAATATATAATACATAAATGTTTTGGCACCAATGACTTTGTTTTTGACTTTTCGCAGTATGTTTGGATACCACTATTTAACAATTCGTTTCCCCCTTTCATTTGTTATATTTTTTTGCGATATGGTTTTATATACACAAAGATTCATTCTGAACTTGAAATGATACTTTATAAATCTCTGTCGTAAGCTATTCTTGTGGAATGAAATTTGTTTGATATTCACTTCTCTTGACTAGAGCTATATGCTAGAGGAGCCCTGTAACTTCCTAATATTTGATAAATTCTTTGAAATATTGGATTATGCACACTTTTTTGTGTAGTAGAAGTCGCAAGTTTACTTTTGCGCTATTTACAATTGATTTAATATCAACAGTGTATCAAATAAGTTGATTTTGTATACGTAGAATTCACTCATGAACTTGAATATTCTAAATTTGGCCAGGAAAACTTTAAAGGGAGCTAGCTAAATATGTGAAAGGCAACCTGATGTTCGTACCCACCCATTCCTACATAATTATAAAGAGATAAACCAAAATTCACTGTAGAAGTTGCATCAAGGAAGGAGAAGCTGCAATAGAAAGGTTTGAGTAACATGGGTCAATGTGAGAAGCCCATCATTAAGGTGGAGCCCTTTCTGGATGAACAAATTAGCACTACAAAAATCTTTGAGGACACAGAAGTTGATATAGTGAGCTGGACAAACAAGGGTGATTTTGCGTCCAACAAAAATGAGGACCCTGATGCAACTGACTATTCAAGTTCGTTTGCTGACACTACGTCTGATGCTGAAAATGGTTCTAGATTGAGTGATGCTGAAGTGGAGTCAGAGTTCTTGGGAGATAATGGCTTGGCAGACACTTTTGATGGTTCTGCATTTCCAATGAGGTGATTTTTATTCCAAGTCAGTAAATTTTAAATTCTTTTGCTTGGATATAGGTTAGCTATAAATATCTAAATTAACCCAGGTCTTATGAAATTGTTGACAAGTGATTAAAGTTACAAACAAAATCCATGTTATGAACTCAAATGTTCAAATTATATAGTATGTTTAACAATTAAAAATCTTAACACATCTGCATAATACTTTTGTAATAATTGTTAAAAGAGGTTAAAAGGTATGGCATTTGAAGTAGACAATCTCCTGTTGTGTATGGTGGGTTAGTGTCTTGGTTTGATGTTTAAGTAAGAGAATAAATTGTTTTCCCACTTTTGCCACTATGCAACTCCTTGGATATTCCATGCACTTCAATTTATATTATTAAATCCATATAATTGTTCGTCAACTTTAGTTCTAGAAGTAACTCTTGAAAGAATCTTGGCTCTGCACCCAGTAAAGATTGGTATTGGAAAATATATCACCATTGTTTGTGTGGTATGTCATCATTAATGTCTTCAGAGACCATTAATGATTGATTAATCTGTGCTTCCAAAAGCTAATTATTAATTGGAAGCTGTATACACTATACCTAGTTAGTTGATGTTTAATGGTGAAGCAATGTTCTTGAACATTTTTTTCTTTGTTACATTATACTGTTATTGATTCATATTAATTTCTTGTGCAACTGTAGGAAGAGGAAGTTGACCGATCATTGGAGGAATTTTATACGACCTCTAATGTGGCGTTGCAAATGGACAGAACTAAAAATTAAGGAAATTGACTCACAAGCATTAAAATATAGTAAACAGCTTGCAGAATGCGGCAAGGGAGAACATACAGGACTTGATCAATTTACCTTAGAAGAGTGTGGTTCAAGGTCATTGCCATTTTTGAGTGAACAGCGAAGAAGTAAAGCCAAAACTAGAAGAAAAAGGAAGAAAGTTGAAGACACAACTGAAATTGGATCATATACATCTCATCATTATATTTTCTCCTATCTTGGTACCACTCACTTATCTTGTTACCTGATTTGCTCATATTTCTTCATTGTTTACATACCAGTTGTCCCTGCTTTAGAGAAGTGTGTGTGACTCTTTACTTTACTTATATTGCAGAGAATAAGAAGTCTGATCCTGATGGCTGTTTGGCTGATGATTCTAGTAATCCAGGTTAGAAAATTTGCTTTGTAATGACACCTAATGTCTTGCTGCTGCCTAATGTAAAATCAGCTGTGCCATTAGCATCTCCTGTACTCTTTTCCCTCAAGAGAAAAGGATATAAAACTGTCTTATTCAGCTGCATTAGCATTATGTTAGTGGTTTGTGTGTGTTGAGTTATCTTTCATTGTATCCACCTTTTGCAGTTCCAATCTGCCTTTTATTTTGCTTCATAATCACATTTTGACTTGTATCTGATTCTTGACTAATGTTTTTATCCTCTGTTTTGGTATAGTGATCACAGAGACGAATGCTGATTCATCTGACAGAATTGGGGAAGATCAACCTTTCTTGGATTTCTGTGAAACTGATGCTTCCTTAGAGCAGCTCCTTTGGTCAATAGACAATCTACGTTCTAGGGTCCACAAGCTGAAAGGCGACATTGATGCAGTAATGTCCAAAAATGCTTCAAGGTTTTCTTCATCAGAGAATTTAAGCCTTCTTCCTCATGGTGACGTGCAGACTAGCTCTGCCCAAAGCCCTACAATCTCTGCAGGGAATGGAGACACAGCATCTGTTGGGGTTATTTATCATTCAACTCATCATGGAGCTGACTTTGATTTAGGAGATTTTGTCATGCATGATAGTGCCATTTCAAGTTATGGAGAAGTTCCTATGGTTCCTGATATAATTGAGAGCACTGTGGGCTTATTGTCTGCCGCTGATGTCACCCTCCATTCGGCCTTGGTTGGGGACTCGTGTGAAGATGTATGTTTTCTGACTTTTCTCAAACTATGGATTACCTAGTTTTAGTTCTTCCTATAATTTCTGCCAATTCCTTTTCATATGACGACTAGAAAAGTGTTTTATGCAATGAAATATAACTTGTTTTGATATTTATACTGTTAGGTAAAACGTGAGATAAGTGTTATATAAAAGTCATTGAAGACAAACTTCATTTTCATCTTTTTTGTGTCCACAATTCTGTATTTTTCATTGTTCTAAACTATTTTCTGTAATTTATTTCTCATGATTTATATATATATAGAGTATGCCATCCAACATATAAAATGCCTTTGAAATATTGTTATATTCTGATTACATTTTGCCGATGAATCTGTTTCAAACACCATACCTATAGAAGGTGTTGCTTGATATAATGCTATTGTTGTACTTATCAGAAAATATTCACCTTTTGACTTGTATGGTTGCAGATGGTGGACAATGTTTTGATACATGAGGTAGCTGAAACAGATGAGCACACCTTTAAAAGTGCAACTCACCATCCCATGGAGAAAGGCGAAGGGGAAGAAAACCTGAATCCTGTTTCTATCCCCATGTCAGATATTAATACAGCAACAAACACTGCAGTGCCTCAAGAGGAATCTACTTTGAAGTCCTGCATGTATAGAGATGTGAACTTTCCAAAGAACAAAAGAAAACGTGGGGAGCGCAAAGCGTGTTCAGGTGGTTGGAGCAAGAAATGCTCAGGGGAATCTGAGAACCAGTGAGCATGACTTCTCAATCTGAAGTGACTACATAATTTGTAGTTCATTGTTTCCCCCTCATTAGGAGATTGATGTTTAGACTTTGGTGATCATAGATAATGAGTATTATAGAGTCGTTTCTGCAGGAACTAGCTTCATTCTGACTTTTCAGATTTTATACTCGACACCCTTTTTCAATATGGGTTTGGGGTGAGAATACTCCTTTTCAATTTGATCAATATATGAAAAGAAAATTCAATTCAATTCTTACATATACATTTGTTTTTATTTGATTGAAGTGGAGCCTTGGTGCAAGGATCAGAGTTGTTGTGTAACTAGGAACTCACATTTTTGAGCTGTGGAATCAGCTTCTTGCAAATAAATGCAAGGTACCTGCAATGGTCTCCTCGAAGAGTGATAGCAATATATTCTTTAACATTTCTTATTATTGGTTAAAATTTATTAAATTATTAATTTTCAATAAATTTTAATTAACAGCAGAGCGTGTGTTTAAAAGATTATGTAAAAAGCGTATTATTAGCATTTCTCAATTAGATTAACCCTTTCCTACACTCTCATGGTGGGAGCTTTGTAGCACTAGTCTTTTTTGTACTTGTTTTTAATTTGTTCTCAGTATTATTTGCTGCTGTTATAATAATGTCTTGGATTATAACACTGACAAGTGTGGGGAACAAATCGAAAATGAATATCACATTTAATGACTTACGTGGCAATTATTCTTTATTTAATTCCTATATTTCCAAAAATTTGATTTTAAACCGAAAATGATAGTCATATAAAAACCACATATATGTTCTCAGTGTTTTCCTATTTTAATAAGTATTGTGCTTAGAGTGCCTCTAATTTTGTGGGGGAACTATGTATATTCTTTTCAAAAGATAAATCTAGAGATGATTGGCTTTAAATGTCCTTGTCCTTGAGGACTTGGATATTCCTGAAGTGAGCGTGGGGCTAACTAAAGGATTGGTGAGAATGAATGAGAATAATAGATAATGACCTCTAAATAAACAATCCAGAAATTGCACGTGAAATGCCATGCACATCATGATATCTTTGCAGTGCTCGCCAACTAATCCATTTGAATTTACTTTTGCATGATCAAGTTGTCGGTTTCTATAATACTCTCCCATATCACACACTACATTGATGAATGCTTTGTTTTTGGCTAGGCTCAATTTAAATATGGCAATGGAAGTTCAACTCATTCCTATTTCGAATTGTACAAAACAAACTCAATGAAACAAATTTCTTCACACAAAAAACAAAAGGAGAGACAGAGAGAGAGAGAGAGAGAGAGAATTTACTAGTTTAGCCACATTTTATGTCTCTCTCCGGTTGCAATATCTCTCAGACCCTGTTTTCACTGAACAAATTTTATGACCACTTCGACAAAAGGACAAAATTTTCACCAAGAGATAAAGAACATTTCTTATTATTACTTTGGGAAGAGAATTTGTTCCTCAAAAGATTCTTCATTATTGTGAATGTGTGTAGCGTGTATCTTCATTAGAACTAATCACAAGATCAAAACTTGTAAAGTAATGTAAATGAGAAGAAAATAAAGAAAAGTACAAAAATAAGAGAATAATGAAACGCTAATGAAAACAAGAAAGACAATAATAAAAAAAAAATTAAAGGATTTATGTTAGTCTTTCACACACAATTAAACTGGGAAAATTTTCTCACGTTTCTCTCTTTATTTATTATTAATTGAAAGTAGTTTGATATATTATTCACTAGAGCTTAAATTCCGTAAAGTTCGCAAAGGACCCAAAGGTGGTGTAGACGCCATACCGCAGAAGCAGCATCACTTTGTGCTTTTAATTGGAAGGTCTTCGTTCCAATCCAAAGTGAACAAAATGATTTCCATGGTCTACAATGTACAAAAAGCAAAAGATATATGACTCAAAGTCTGAAACCTCTTCTTCTTTTTGACCCCTCCTAGTTTCTCAATAAATAAAAATAATAAAACTAATGCTTATATAGGCTAATTAAATGCTTTGTTGTTATTATAACTTGATACGAAATTTTTAGTGTGTATTTAAACATCAGTTTAAAACTATGTTCAATTAAAAAAATAGACGTTTTAGTGCAAAAAAAAAAAATTGTAGGTGTGACTTTCTTTTTTTTTTTTAAACTCTAATTGAATTTAACTCAATTGATTAATTTCCAAAAATACATGGATTGAGACTGGTTTTAATTTCTCATTATATGCACTTAAGCTGCAAAATATGACAACTTTCATGAGAAATTGCATGTTTATGATTTACCTTATGACATTATTATCAATCTTTGTTGAATGGCAATTGCCAAGATGCCAACCAACATCTCCAATCATAGTGTCTTTTTCCTCTTTGTTGCAGCCTTTTGGAGTTTGGGGATAGAAATACGCAGCAACACCACCACAACACCTTTAACCAATTCTAACATTATTTTAATTCATCAAGTGGCAACATAATTGTAAGCATATTAGGTTTTAGTATTTTTAAACATGACACAGATAACTCCATTATATGTATTAATTGTACACGGCTTCACTATGATTACTCTTATTTGAGAAACCATTTGGCAAACTTGGAAGAGTAATAATAGTTAAACAACACTAATCATCAATCATTAAATGGCTTGCATGAGTGTCTAGTGTAGGGTTTGGTTGTGCAAGTACTATCATACTATTACTTTGTATCTTGAAATCATGTGTGAAAGGGTATTCATTGTAGTATGAGTGAAGAATTAATAAGACGGATTTTTGGGCAAGCAAAGAAAATAATTCCTTTCTTGGAACGTCCCCATTATGATCATAAACAGAAAAGGGTGCAGGAGCTTGTGTAATAATTGCACAGCACAAGTTCAGAGTTATTAGAATTAAACAGGCCATTTGTATATGCATGACACGAAGCATTTTCAAATGGTGATGTCCACATGAAAGGAAATTATGGCTCCTTTTCTAGGTATACTTTGAATGGGAAAGAAATGTGATAGTGATAGCATGATACGAGTAGGATAAAATTGTTGAGGCAAGGAATTAATTGCAAATACATGCAGCTCTAAATCCTGTATCATTTTATGGAATTAATTAATTGATGTTGGCGCTTCACCAAAGGAGTAAAGAGACTCATGGGGGAAATGTGATTTTGATTTGGGATGAGACTTTGAATCAGGAATGAAATTGATATTGTGTGTGTTTGTTTTAAGTAAATCTCAATTTTCAAAAAAGCATGAATGGAAACTTTTATCTCATTGTGGATTCACCTTCTACATGTTCCAACGCAAATACAAAATTTGCAAAAGATATTCAAACTGCTGAATCAAAATCAAACCACTTTAAGAAAAATGAATCAGTCTAATTTGTAAAAAGGTTCAATTAATCAATCTTATTTTTTAATTTGAAAAATGATTCCATTCAATTCAATTCATTTTTAATAAAAAAAATTGAACCAATCCATTTTATAAAAAATAGTTCAGATAAAAAAAAATGAATTATTTTGATTTGGCTAAATTTTTTTAATACAAACCTTTAACATGCCTATACTAATTAAAACAACTATAATCTTCTTCTAGGTTACTCACATATTAAACATAAATCATCTCAAATTGATAGAATTTGGTAACATGAGCAATTTGGGTTTGTAAGATATTTGGAATGGAAAAGGAATTTATTATTATTATAGAAAAATTGCAACCTTCATATCTATGTAGTATCTTTTATTTTTATCGGTAATTTTACTGATTTGTGTCCTTTTAAAACTTGATTTTATTAGCAAAGAGCTAATTTATATATTCATTGATAAACTAGTATCTATTCCATGTACTGATAATTTAAGTAAGTTTTTAAAACATACAAATCAGAATAAATTATTTAAATTATAAGAGGTATATGCATAATCAATTTCATTAAATAAGTGAGAAAATGTAAATAGCTTTAAATTTAAGGGCAAAAGAAATTTTAAGAATAAAATGTAACTTAAGTGTACAAATGGCTTAGAGTTTTTTGTGTGTATATAAGTAGTTGAAATTTAAGATGAAAAAAGTTAATAAATTTTTTTTTAAAGCAATTTGAGTTAACATTGAAAGGGTAAAAACATAGAAATCTTGACATGAAAGGAAAAATTAAAAACAAATAATAGTTTATGTATATATAAGTATTAAATAATGGTGAAGACAATTGTTGTAAAGAAAAATGAAATATTAAATGTATGTAAAATGAAAAATCAAATTTATAATACAAGAGTAAATCGTATATAAAAATACTATTCTCTTTTTTTTTTAATAAAAAAAACACTAACTTTTTTTTTTTTTTGTAACAATGATAACTTTCTTGAAGTTTCTTTTTTTTAATCTCTCCTCCCCAGAAAAAAAAAAAGTGCTAGACAGAACAATCCGAATCGATAGCAGAGGTTGACTAAATTTATGAACCAATTTGCAAAAAGAGATCCATGTTATAATGCCTGGTATAATCTCAACATGTTAGAATAATGAGTGATGCCAGCGAGGGAGATAATACGTGAAACCCATACAACACATTCTCTACAATTAAATTATCTCTCAACCGTGTGCAATTAAGATCAACATAACATTTTTTCCATAATTAATTTTTGTCAAAAAATTTGGTTAAATAATTTATTAAAGTCTTCCTTCTCGAATTTCAACCATATTTTTTCATTCAAAACACTCAAATCTAAGATCTTATTTAACGGGAAGTTATTAAATTTTACTCAACCTAACTTAGCTTATTGTTACCTTAATTATATTATATGAAGAATGAGTTGAGAGTTTGTTATTGTTGGCAAGTGAACACAGTTGTGGTTTAGCAGCCAATAATTTTTCTGTGATAAAGGCAGGCCAAGCATGTCTTACACCAATTAATTGCCTGTGTGATCTCCTCTTCCTAGCAATGATATAAGATTAGGGGCAAAATATGATTAAGGCTCCAGAAAGTAATGAATTTAATAAGGGTATTGTTTCCTTTTTGAAGAGATAGGGGCCACCTTGGTAATTACATTAAAAGTAGTAACATTTTTTTTTAATTTTTTTTTACTTTGCTTTAAAATTTCAAATCTCTTTCTATCACTCAAAATCAGAAAGCATCATGGCAGCCAAAGCAAAAGAAAGGGGTTGTGTTAGAATAAAGAATGGGAGAAAAGGAAAGAAGCACGTTGCCAACCCCATCTTAGACTCACAAACTGCAGCAAAACCCTCTTCTTCTTCTTCTTCACTTCCTACACAAATGAAAGTACTTTGCTCTCTTCCTCCAACTCTATCATACTTTCAGTTCTCTTTGTTCATGCAAGATCCAAAGAACGATTCAAACACAAGGTATGTTATGTTCCTCTCCTTCACACTTGAACACACACCCATGTTGAGAATTCAATTATCTTATCTTTTGTACTTACTTAGCTTTCTGTCATCATATACATTAATTACTATGTTCCTTTTTGCTTACTAATAAATGTTTTCTATAAAATGTGTGATCATCTATAAGCTCGGAGGTTATATTGCATCATATTTTTTTTGTTAGTTAGTTTTGGAGAAAATGCTTGCATTATTCCTCCAAGGCCTAAAACTAGACTTAAATCTTATCTGGGTTAGTATTTTTTGATTGGTTCAACTTTGTTTATACCAAGTTTAACCTCTGCAAAATATAGTGGTTCAACCTTAATGATGTTATGAAATTGACCAACCCCAAAACATTCATCATGCAACGGTGGGAAAGTCAATTCCCTGGCTGACCTGCTTTTTAGCTTTATTAACTGTGAGCCTAAATTTGGAAATTGGAATAGGCAAGTTTGGATTAAAATTTTGTTACAAGGCCTAAACATGAAAAACATCCAAATAATGGTTTCTTAAGATTGTGATGAAAAGGTGAATAAATTTCAATTTTGTGTTCCACTTGCACAATTGCTTCTTCCATTTTGGAAAAATGAATGCAGTGAACGTTATGAATCCAGCCGCTGCTGCATCATCATCTCATGAACTCACGCATGAAATTCACTTCATTTCAAGTTGCAGGAAGCCCTGGTATCAAAGAGCAAAGGAGGTGACTAACCTATGGAAAAGTGTGTCAAAATCCACAGAAATTCACACTTCTAATTCCACTTTTTGGAGGACAACATCATCAATGCCAAAATCTCCTCAAGTCCCTACACCAAGTCACAACAAGACCAAGCTAAGAAAATGTGCCTCTCTAAAGGTTGCCACATCCTTCACAAGGGTATGTCTTTGTGCACCTATCTATTCCTATAATGAGATTTTGAGAGCTGAGGTGCCACCTAGAAGAAGTAACAGTTATCCAAGATCAAAGCCATTGCAAACTACACATGAAAGAACTCCTAGTGCTAGGCTTAGCACAGAGGGAAGGAGGGTATTCAGGGGTAAATCATTAACTGATGATGTTCTAATGAGGAGGTTTGTGATTGAGGAAGAGGCAATGATGCAAATTAGAAGAAGAAATCAAATGGAAGTTATTAGGAGGAGGAGTGTCAATAGGAGAAAGAAGCTTGGGCCTAGTCCTCTAAGTAGAATGGTTATGGCAAATGATATTGGACAATTTTAATTCATTGGTCCAACTTCTTCTGTAGTGTCTAGTCCAGTCCAATTGGTGAATTTTGATTCTCCATCAGTGCCTTACCTATCATTTTTCTCTTTTTTTTTGGGCCTTAATTTCATTCAATGAACTTTTTAACCACGTGTGGCAAGTTTCTACTACTGGGGTTATCTTCTAATGGCAACATTTTAATTTTACATGACCCAAATTTAAGTGGGTTTGATTTTTTTTTTCTTCTATGTATAGCTCATAATCACAATGTTAATTTCATTTCTATGATTTAGGTAGAAAAAGTCCTTTTCAGAATCAAAGTTTGTGTTTGAATTGATTTATCTTGGGATGAAATTGAAAACTTTCAAATCAAAAGCTTCATAAGAGAAGTTTTTAAAAGAAAAATAAATATCTTAACTTGTCAAATCAACAAACGCAGCCAACTAACTGCTATGTGTAGACTTCTTAATTTGCTTATAAGACACTCTAAAAACATAATTGATGAATAAAACTTGTAGACCAAGGATAGTGGTTATCTAATTTGTATCTGAAAGGCCAAGTTAGGTTGTTTTGTGACTACTAATGTGACTCTGATACCCACGCATGCTTCACATTTAACTCATCAACTACCCTCTTTTTCCTTTTTTGTGATTTTCTGCTTGATGACAAATGGTTCTTCCACCACCATAAAATGTATCACCCCAGTGGAAATACACACAAACATTAAGCTTCTTTACGTAGTTTACAATGTTTCAAATTCTATACTAGAAAATAAAGCCAACACTAATAGCACTGTGAAAAAAACTAGAGCAGATAAAGGATTGAGTTCATTTATGTGATATGCTCCAATTAAATTATGAGAATCTTCTATGGAATCAACCTTGTGTTTTAGCTTTTCTAAAATTATTTTAGTAACAAAGAAAACTGGTAGATGTTGAATTTTCAAGAAATTTATAAAACTTTTATTCTTTTAGTTTTACACTAGTTACTAGTTACAATCGTTATTTTGTTAGATTAGAAGTTGAAGAGTGTTGGTAGTTGGTAGCTTACTCCAGAATATTTATATAATGAGCTAGAATCAATCCATTACCAACCAAATCTTTTTGGTTTATTAATATTCGTTGTTGGTGAAAATGTCGATCTAAATAGCTATGAATTGCGGTTTTGGGTTGGTATTAATGGGAATTATTATAAATGTAAAATATAATGGAGGTAGCACTCACAAAAGATGATTTTGTCCATATTATGCTTTTAAATTAATTGGTATTACTCTGTTGCTAGTTGGTATAAAGGACACCTGGAAGAACAACAGGATACGAGACTTAATAAAGCAACAAAATTAATGAACTTCATTTTGTTCTATTAATGAACAAGTTGTAGGGTGGTTTTATTATTTTTTCTCACGTGAACAAATTGCAAAGTCACAACAATGTAGGATTCACCGTGACCATGAATTAAAAAAAATGTAGGATTGACATTGACGTTTGAGCTTAATTCATACCACAAGTAATAGTTTCACAACTTATACATAGGATGATAAATAAACTCGTACTGATAGGTGATATTCAAACTCACCCTAACTTTAATAGAAAATATTTGCTTTGATCGAATATGAGTACAGGTACGGGTAAAATATGAAATATTAAATCGGGGATGGGAACAAGAACAAGTATATACTTACTTGTCTCGTCCTCATCCCGTCGCCGATTTAATACATGTTCCTAATTTGATTGTTTTAAAGAATTTTAATATTTAAGAATTAGTGTCTCCAAAGTTTCTTGATTAAAATATGAGATAAAAAAATAACTTAATTACCATTGTAATATAACAAAAAGATAAGTTAAAAATATTATGTATTTTTTTTGCAAAAACAAATTAATTAATTTATTTTTGGTATAGGTACGGATATACCTAATACTCGACAGGGATGGAGATGAGACATTACTTACCTGTCAGGTATCGAAGATGAGAATGGGAGCAGGGATGGATACGAGTTTGAACTACGGGTATGGAGATGAGTATTATGAAACTTGTACCGTCTCATCCCGTTGTCATGATTACTTACATGTATTATGTTAATCTTATTATTAATCTTATTATTAATTAATATAAGATTTTTAATATTTATTTTTTGTGAAATAAAACATTTTTTGAGTGTAAAATTTACGATATTAAATATTTGCAGTAACATCAAGAACGGATAATCCATTTAAACTAACAATAATTAATAAAATATATTTTAATATATTTTAAATTTCACTCAATCTTATGTAAAGTAAAAATTGTTGCATTTGTCCATTTACATGCATTATTTTCACTACCATTTAGCATCTTTAATTTGTGAGATGACATTTGTGTTTCGACTCAACATTAATTACAGACATCATAGCATCATGATGTAATAGAAGGACAATATTATGGGTACCAAACAAGACACGCTTTATAAATTATTACAAGAGAAACTGTTTCGTTCTCTATCCGGTGAAATAATAAAGACAACCCTATCTTGATTAAACGAACCATAATTAATACCCCTCCAAGATTTCGTGAGTTTAAAATCCACCATTTTTCTTGATAACATGGTATTTCCAAGTTAAGAAAAAGTGAAACAAAAATGGTGTAAAACTAACACATCCCTTCACACACAAAAAATGGCAAGTTCATTAGAAAACTTCTATTTTATATAATAAAATACCAATTTATGTTTTTAAGAAAATGAGAGAATTTAAATCTTAATTAGAGATTTACTTCTAAATGGGACTTTCTTAATTCATTAGTTATTTGGAAGTGAAGTGCCTTCTACGTTCTTGTATGGTTTTTGTTTGTTATGAAAAAGTGCTTAGTTGAAGGAATCTTTCAATTTCCCTACATAAACA